TTAGTTAGCGCACCGTTCCCCCACCACTTTTTTCCGTCTGCCACTGCCAATTATCGTCTACGTTATCTCCCCCCTCTCCACTTTCTTCCGTCTGCCATTGCCAATCAACGTCTACGTCACCCCCCTCCTACTTCCATCCTTTTCTTCTGTTATTTCTTTTCTTTTTATATTATTTTATTTCATTGAATTTTATTTTAATCTAAGAGAAGTCCGTTTTTTTGTAATCGTCCGACCAAAGCATGCCGTCGTGACGAATAAAAGGAATTATTTATCATTTATTTTTTCTTTCCTGTATAATGTATCACTATATTATTATTAATATTATTATTATTATTATTATTATTATTATTATTATTTTCACCATATGATGTATTATTATACTTATTATTTCTTAAATTTATTATTTATAATTATAATTATAATATTAATAATTTATTTTATTGTAATATTATTATATTATTCTTATTATTAATTATATTAATTATTAATCATACATTATTATTATTATTATTATTATTATTATTATTAAATGTTAATTATTAATTAATTAGCGTTTATCAGAGTTCATTTACGATTACTTGTAATTTAATAAATGTTTTAATGAAGTAGTATACGCACAATTGGCGCACACACGCGTATAATTACGTTTTAAAATTTATGTGTACATTGTTAATTAAAAGCTTGGTCATCTGCTATGCCTTCACAAGACTAAAGAATCGTAATATTAAAGGGTTTCCACCCTTCTTCCATTTTCCATTATCCTTTTTTTTTCCTTTATCCTTATCGCAAACAACAAACACACGACGTTTTTATATGATACATGTGTATATATACATACGCGTCTGTCTTCATTATATTTATTTCTTTCTGTATGTGTGTAGTATGTATGTATGTAATTATGTATATTTTTATGTATACGTTATTTTTTTCACTTCAATCTTTTCACTAATTTTTCTCTTATTCTTCTTCTTCTTCTTCTTCGTCCTCTTCGTCTCCTTTGTTTTTATTCGTTTTTTTTTATTTTACTTTTTTTTTTCTTTTATACATACGCGCGCCAAACACGCTAGCAAACCATTTTCTACAAATATGTTTTATCATTATTTTTCTCGATTATCGATATTAATATCGATATATATTTTCGGTAAGTAGAAACCCGTTCTCGTTTAAATTGGGGTGGGGGTAGGAGTGGTTGTGTTAAAAAGGAATTTTATTTTTCGAATTTGATTTGGAAAGGTGTTAGGAAAGGGGGAGGGGTGTGGGAAGGAAAAGTTTTTTAAAGTGAAAGGTTTTCGGCAGGGCTTGCAAAATCGTGTCCTTCGTTACGTCCTTCCGTCTGTCCGTCCAGTTCGTCCGTTTGTTCCGTCGACCCGCGGTTTAAGATTTGTTTTGGATTTTTATCACAGAAAAACATTTTTTTTTCTTTTTTTTATATATAATTATAATAATATAATTAGTTAAGCTTATTCACACGCGAAGAATAAATCTTGCATACAATACACCTTGTTCGCACCCACTGGAATAAAACATTCACTCGGTCGGTAATCTTTCAACGATAAAATGCTTACAACGAGTTTTTTCATAAGTAGAATTAAATCGTAAATCGTGATTCTCTCTTTCTTTCTCTCCTTTTGTTTTTTTTGTTTTTGTTTTTTTTTTTATTATTCTCTATCTCTTTCTTGCTTTATTATTTATATTATTTCTTAATAAGATTATTTATGTGTACGCTTACGTATGTGTTTATGCGTAACCACCCTCATCTCATGCCACGTCTTACGTTAAGTGACGTTGTATTTTTACATATGTTTTTTTTTTTGCTTACTTTATTTCACCATTTTTCCCTTCACCCCGTCCATTTTGTTACTGTTGTTGTTACTATTGTTATTTTTCACTATTTTATTTCAATTATTTTCAATCCCTTCAACACCCTTTTTTCCACACTTGTTTTCTTCTCGTATTTCTCGTTTCGAGTTATAATGATAATAATGATAATAATAATAATAATAATAATAATAATAATAATAATAATAATAATAATAATAATAATAACGCGTATTATATATATATATATATATATTAAAATGTTAATTCATTTTTTACAGCGACGATATACGAAATACGATTGAGTTTTGTTTTAAAGCACTTAGGGGAAGAAACCATGCGAACTCTCCGGCTGCTGCTGTTGTTGATGATGTTGATGCTGCAATTGTTGTTGTTGTTGTTGTTTTTATTGCTTCGGGGGTGTTTTACTCTCTTCTATCCTTTTCTTTTTTTATCGAAAAATGTTTATCAATTTGAATGAATCAATAAACATTCGAACCAAAAACATTACATAACACTTCGAAACGAGAAAATGACGTTTAAATAGAAAAAATTGAAATGTTGCCCCCTCCCATCTCTCTAGCACACAGACACACCCGCACCCTCCCTTTCCTTTCAATATTCTAATCGATTAATCGTGTTTTACATGTATGCATAAAATATAATAATAATAATAATAATAATAATTTAATATGCACAATCGACAACATACTTTGTTCTCAAATGCACTCGACCAAGGCTCATGCATGCAGATACGCACGCAAACACGAAATATTATTGAAAATCATAATTAATTGTTTATACATAATTCAATGTTATTATTTTAAATATTCTCTCTCCCTCTCTCTCTCTGTCTCACTCTCGTTCTAACTCACTCAATCCCCCACCCCCTTTACCAGCTCCCATTTTTGTTGATTCTTCCGTTTTTTTTGTTCTTCCCGTTTCTCCGATTTCATTCTTTCAAAACGGATATATACATCTACCTACGCATAGATACATATGTATAGATGTTATGTATACGTATCGCAGAAAAAGACATACGCTATTTACATATGAATTTTTTATATCTCATGTGTGTCCGCCTAAGATATTTCGTATGATTGGCAGTATGTTAAACGTGTTTTTTTTTTTTAATTTTAATTCTTTTTTTTACACATTTACATATACATATATGTAAATGTATAATGTATGTATATATTCATATATATACATATATATTGTACCGGTCGGATACGCGCGCATTTCTATTGGTGCTCTCGTATTATAGTCTTTGTTTTGACTTCTCTTCATCCGCCATATTCCTATTTGCCTCCCACTCTTCCTCCTCTTCGCCATCTTGAATTTTGTTTCTTCTTGTTTTCAGCCATTTTTTTGCGCGCTTAATTCGATCCAACCAACGAGTTCCCGCTTTGTATTTCGCTCGATTTGTTTGTTTATTTTGTTTGTTAAATGTTTTCAATTATTCGATCGGTTTTGATAATCGATGTGTTAATTTATTTTAATCTAATTGTAAGTATGACGCGTGCGTTTTCGGTTGGGTGTAGCACACTTAGCAGTAGTAATAAGTTCGTGATAAGTTTTTCAAATAGCAGCAATGGCGACGGTAGTAAGTTTGGTAGAATAGTTTTTTTCATTTTTTTTTCTTTTCTTTTCTTTTAAGTTAATAGTAGCGATGACGGTGACGGTGATAGTTTTTAGTAGTAACAATCGTATTAGTAGTAGTAGTAGTAGTAGTAATAGTAGTAGTAGTAGTAGTAGTAGTAGTAGTAGTAGCAGTAATAGTAGTAGTAGGAGTAGTAGCAGTAGTAGTAATAGTAATAGTAGTAGTTGTAGTAGTAGCAGTAGCTGTAGTAGTTGTAATAGTAGTAGTTTTTAGTTAATAGTAGTAATGAAGTAGTTTGTCTCTTTTTTTGTAGGTGTAGTTAGTAACGGTAGTTAGCAGTGATAGTATTATAATCATAATATATGCAGTATTTTACAAATGTTTTAGAGAATCGTATAGAAAGAACGTGAAGATTGCCTTCTACTCGCTTTCATCACCTTGCACTTCTTGATTTTGAGGTTATCTTTTTTCTCTCTCTCTCTCTCTCTATTCCTTTTCTGTATTTCTCTTTCTCTATCTCACTTTCTCTTATAATATCAGCACCTTTTATGCACTTGATTTATTGATTGATTTATTGATTGATTAATTAATTAATTAATTAATTTATTTATTTATTTATTTATTTGTCACTTAGCGATTCGACGAAACATTAAACGGAAATTCATGTTACCGTTTTGTTTTTTACGAGTGCTTCGATTACGATGAAAAAACACGGCGTCTTCTTCTTCTTCATTCATCCATCCTCCATATTGTTTTAATACTTTTCAGCCCCTTAACGACAGAGAAAGAGATTTAAATGATGGTATTGTTGTTGTATTGAGATATTAGTTTGTTTTCCTATTTTTCCTTGTTTTATTTGTATTTTCTTTGACTATGTTGAGAGATATTTTGGTTTGTTTGCTCGTTTCTTCGTTTAAAAACAAGATAGTGTGATTAATCGTTGTGTAGCAGCGATAAAGCAACGGGGAGCGGAGGGGTGGAGCAACAATGATCGATGTTTTTTTTTTGTATTCTCTTCTTTCTCTTTCTCTCTTTAATTCTCACTGTCCAACAAGTGTCGTTAGAAAAACTGCACCTACCTATTATTTAAAGTACCCGCTACTTTTGTTTTGTTTTGTTTAAAACACGCGTACGTATTTCACATTGTATTTTTGTTTTGTTTTATTTTGTTCACGTTTAAACAGTTCCGAGGGAATCTCGCAATACAGCGGCAGCTTTTCTTGTTTCATTTGTATTTTTTTTTCATTTCCTTTGAAAATCATCATTGGTTTTCCTTTGATCGATTCACCCACGCACTTTCCGGGGATAGGTGGTACTCCTGTATTTCTTCCTTCAGGAAACTTATCTTCAAAATGTTGCAAGTTTCACTCGATAAGTTTTTTTTCTAACCTCAAAACTTTCATATAGTTCAATACCATTTTCAATTTGTCCGTCTAACCCACGTGATTTAACAATGAAACAAAAGCGACCAAAGAGGAAAGAAAAATGATAAGAAAGATAGAAAGAGAGAGAGAGAGAGAGAGAAAGAAAGAAAGAAAGAGAGAAGAAAAACGAAGGAGTTTAAACGGTGTCTCCTATATTTTTTTTTTCTATTTTGTTTTGTCTTTTTTTTTCGAGAAGAAAATGAATCCTCCAGGTTTTCATTTCGATTTAAACATCTTTTTTTCTTGTAGCCTTGACAATTGTTTATGTTCACGTAAACAATGAAACGTTTCTTTCTCGCAGAGTATCCGTCTCTCTCTTTCTCACTCATTTTCTCTCTTTAAATATCTTTTATTATTCTTCTTTCCCGTTGTTGTTTCTATGATTGTTGCTTTTTTTTTTTACTGTTTGTTTAATTATCGTATAAAAAGTGGACCCTCCTCTCGTCCCGATTCGCCGAAGATATTGTTCGAAAAACAGAAAAGAAAAAATCAACCCAAACTAAAGCGTCCATAGTGCTAGAAATTTTTCTAACACGAGCGCATGATTATCCCAATCGAATATATGCGATTCACTGTATTACTGTATTACATATATTCTCTTTTACATTTATTTATTTCTATATTTAATCCCCGTTTTGTTTTGTTTAACATTTCATTTTTTAGAATCATTCAACAAACCCGAGTTTTTCTATTCAAGTTGTCCTCACCACCACTCTCTTTCTCTCAACCCTTTTATTCTCGAAATGTAAAGCACCGAAAAATGAAACTTTCACACGAAACAAAGCTCGTTTTGCGATCGGGGTTACACGAAGAGTCACACTCGTATTTTCGTTTCACCGATAAGAGTCCTTTCTTTCTAAATCAATTCTAATCTCGCTTTGAATATCCTATCCCCCTTTTTTCCCACCCTTTATCATCTCTCTCTCTCTCTCTCTCTCTCTTTTTCATAATCTTTTCGTCTTTCTATCTCGTTTCGTTTCATTTTGGTTCGTTTCGTTGCGTATTAACGAGAAACCGGTCAGCCGCATTTTTCGTATCGATCCTCCTCGATTAAATCGCGTTCTCGCGATCGTGACAAGAAAGTCAATGCACGTCCCACGTGGACGATTCACGTAGACGATTCACGCACAGACCCAAAGACGCCTGGGGGCGTCCACGTCGCCGGACCACCGTCCAGGGTCCCACTTTGGCTAGCACCAGTCATCCTCGTCGCTGTCGGAATGTCTCGACCTGTTTGAAAAATTCCAATTAATTATTTAAAAGAAGATAAAAAGAAAGGAAACAATAACAGTCATCCCTTGAATTTGATTTCGTATTTTGTGGAATATTAGTAAATGATACGCGCCTATAGGCGCTGTACGCTACAAATGTGCATCTCGCATAGGGCGTCTATAGGCGTTGTTGTTCGCAAATCAAAATGGATAAAACATTGAACAATTAGATAAAGGAAAAAATAACAAAACAAAAAAACAAAGTAGATTTACCTTGGCAAACGTTGCTTTGACTGGGGCTGCGGTTTGTAACCGTTCGGCACGGGACTCGGAAGTAGACGACCTCCTCGACCCATTGCAACGGCCTGCTCAAAACTGAGCGGGCAGTGGCTCGGTTGCATAGGTGGTTGCATATGACCGGTAGTTGGATGTGGCATACCAATCGGTACGACAGGTGGTACATGCGGAACACCTCCTACCATGTGCGGTCCATGTGTCGGCGATGCGTTAAGCTTCGGAAAATTAATATTCGTTGGCTTTAATTGCAACGTCGAAGGTTTGCTCGGGGTAGGTGGTAACCGACGACCTCTTCTAGCTACCAAAACCGGATAGCTGTGTTGATGCGACGGATGACGATGTGGATGATGAGGATGTGCCGGTGTACGACCACCAATCGGACTTGGACTTCTCGAGCGTTGTTCCAAGCTGGTAGTACCGTAATGTTGACCGCGTTCTATCCGATGAACTGGACTAGGTGATCTCGCGGGACTCGTCGATGCGCTCCAAGGACCTGATAAGAAATTGTCCTTCTTTTCATTTTACCCCTCGTTTCATCATTTTATCAAATCCATCGGAGGAATTTCGCTCTCATCAACGAGATATCGATTCTCTATATCGAGCGAATTCATTTAACAGGTGTGTCTATATACAATGACTCATGAAAGTATTTCAATACTTACCCACGAAGTATTTTACATTAATTATAATTATTATATTATTAACATTGGATAGAAGAATGACCAAAGAATATAAAATTATTTAAAACATCAGTAGTCCATTTATCGTGCAAAAAATTCATCGTAGTTGGCACTGAGACCACCAGTGGGCGATAGTAGGTACTTGACGCCATGATAATACAATACTATCAAAAAATACAGTATTTTACCTACTATCACCCACTGATGGTTATACCAATAATTAATAAAATATTTTATGGCAATTATTCAAATACTTTCGTGAATCACTATAGATTAGGTAGTAGGTAATAGATAGTAGGTATTATATATATATATATAAATATATAATTAGATAGGCATCTTTTTGTCTAGCAGCCTCGTCTTGTTCTACTTTAGGTAAGTAACGTGTGTTGCGTCGATAAATGAAATTCGACCTAACAACAACGGCTTGCTAGATAACGCTACTATTTTTATTCGTAACAGCAAATTTGTTTATTTTGCCATTCGTCGGACTCGCGCCACGCTTGTAAGGCATTGTTTTATTTTTTTGTCAATCCTATTAAGGTGCAAATCGGATGATGCATCGAATGCATGCTGTTCCGTGCTTCTCCCGTCTACCTAAAGGGGAGGAGGGGGTAAAATAAGATAGAGTTAAGCGCCAAACGGGGTGAATCTCTCGTACATGCCACAAGTAGCCAATATGATCTTCGATTTATAAATATACACATATATTTAGTTATATGTATGTGTATACATACATGTATATTACGTACATAATTATACGTCAATGTTTTCAAGCTCGTTCCGTGTACAAAGCGTGCGATTACGACTAAAGATGGCATCAAGGACGTTCTACTTTCGATGGATTTGCTAAATAAAAATAGAACACACTATACTTTTATATACCAGACAACTATATAAGTAAGTAAATAAGTAAGTATGTGCACTTGTTGTTTTCTAAGTTTACACACGTGAAAGAAATAAGGGCTGTAATTGTAGTGTCCGATGGTAATAACTGTAAAGCGATGTAAAAATGGTCTCTAAATTGAACAAAATTTCAATAAATATATTTATGTAAGTATGTATGTATGTATGTATGTGCGCTTGTGGGTGTATTTGTATAATTAAAAGGATATGGTGATAATAAGGCAAGACGAATAGAAGCCAAACGACATCGAACATACATAAATACAAAATTACATGTGTGACATGACAAAACTGCCTTGGATAAGGGAATGAAACGGAGTTGCGAAAGAAATTACCATCGTCGTAATAGTCGCAGTGGTCGTAATAGTCTGTTGTGTTGTAGGCGCATAACAGAACAAAATGAAGAAACATATTACATCGAGTTAAAATACATTGAGCCTTTTTCTTTGCCTCTTGCGAAATAACCATTTATAGCGACACTCATAATTAACATTCGAATCACAGACACGAATCTTTGAAATGACTAAATCAAACTTTTCGATTAAATTCAATTAACACTTTGACTGACGCGCGTATTTCACGTGATTTTTTTATTAAGTTGAAATATTATTTACTGCAAATAATTTATTGCTATTTTTAGTACCAATTTTGGACAGTTTGAAGCAACTGATAATTGCAAAAATGGTTTACAACGCTTTGGGGGGTCACTGGTCACCCCTAGGGCAGTCAACGTGTTAATATTATATCGAAAGGAACAGGGATCGAAATTGAACGAAATAAAGGGATGATTCGTGGCTTTGATCCTTTGATTTCTTTTTCTTTTTTACGTTTTCCTTTTTTATTTTTTCATAAACGTGTTTTATAAGACGGAATTTGTTTTTTTTTTTCATTCTCTTTAGTACTTTGTTCTCATAGGAGACTAATAATAAAATTGAAGATRGACAGACGCACGCACACTCACGCAATTATTACACAATCATCACGTACCTCGCATCTTATGTCGATTATAATGTAAAGAATGTGGATGATGATGATGCCTCTGAATTTCGACGACGTTGCTAACCGTGTCGCTAAATCCTGGTCCTTCGTGATAATATCCATGATGGTCGTGCCTGTGTCGCCTTGGCGATGGCGATCTGTGCATGATCGGTGAATGTCTTCTGTTCAAAGAAAAATTGATTATTATTATTATTATTATTATACAAACCCATGGAATTAAAAAATCACATAATTAACCCTTTGCATTCGAGCGGCCAGCATATGGCAACTCGAGTGGCGCCGATACGGCGCCCGGCTAATTTCAAGTCTTTTGTTACTCTATTTGCTTATTTACGATTTGTTATAAGATATTTCTTTTAAGATATACTTCAAGATAATACTTAAAGGGTCGAAAAGGGACTGTAAGGTTTGCTCTGATCGTAATACGCTTGGAGGTAGACAGAAAGTAAAATATTGGGTTGGCAAGTAAGTAATTTTGGTTTTCTAGTGTGAAATAAAACTCAACTGTTTCTAAAGTAACAAATGTAAACAAAATTACACGGAATTTGTTTCTGTAGCAACCTACAAGTGTCAACTACCAAACCTCAAAAGAAAAAAATTCTAACATTAACAAAATAATAACGAAACAAACATAAATTTATCTATTGGTGCAAGCTGAAATTACTTTCTTTCCAACCCAATATTATCATGATACGTGTCTAGGATGCATCTTGAGTATTGTTTTACGAAATATCATACAAAAACTAATTACAAAGTATAATATTTCTCAAATTTTCTTGTTTTTCATATCAAAATAAATAAATTGGTGATATTTTATTACATTTATATGTAAAATGTTTCCCTAATTTGGCCGAAATCGTCTCGAGTTGCTGGATTGCACAAACGAAAAAGGCCTCGAGTGCAAAGGGTTAAATTATATTATCAAAGAAATTTGCTTAAAGGAAACTAGGAGTAAAGTCAGAATATGTAATCAAATGTCGGAAACTTTTAGTATGCATAGTGATTTGACCCTCTAACTACAGGTGTCGGATATATCCGGCATCCAAAATATATATATCACACCCATTTATTAGTCGTTTGGTGTCTAATCATACATTAACTAATAATATGTAAACTACTTTAGGTATTTTGGATCGGTCATAAACCAGACGAATGAAATAAACGAATGAACTTAAGAAAGGAATCAATTTAGACAAGGTCAATAAATTACTCAGCTCGTGGTTGCTCTCTAAACGCTTAAGAATTAGAATATACAATTATTCTACCGGTAGTCCTTTATGGTACCGAAACGTGGTCACTTACAAAGAAATTGAGGGTTTTCGAAAATAAAGTTGTTTAGTGCAAAACGCGATGAGGAAACGAGCAAATGGAGAAAACCCCATAACGTAACTGTACAACAAAACCGGACATCATTAACGTCGTAAAATCGCGCCGATTAAGATGGGCAGGATACGTGGCGCGTATGGGGGTGGATCGAATGGTGCATAAAATACTGATCGGTATACCGAACGGGAAAAGACCACTGGGTAGACCGAGATGTAGATGGAAGGACAATATTATTTCGGGATCTTAAAGAAATGGGCTACGAAGACCGCGAATGGAGGGGTCCGCGCTCAGGGACGAGAACACTGGCCAGGATCTGGTATTTGCAGCAATGAACTTTCGAGTTCCTAAGATCAATTAACCCCTTGCACTATTTTCACGAGTCTGACTCGTGATGAAAATTTTAGGTCATACTTGAATATCACGAGTCAGGCTCTTTATTAAATTTTATGTTAATCTAATGCCAATTAATAATAATAATAATAATAATAATAATAGAAAAGTATAAAATAGAATAATACCTTAAGCTTGGCGATCTCGAATGATGTCTCGGTGGATGTGTCGAAGGATGATGGGGGTGAAGTCTCTCACCATAATGCGTTAAACTCTCGATACTACCGGCACGTGAGTCGCTAACTACGACATTCTGCAGGTCGATCTAAACGAATAAAATTAGTCAGTCGTATACTTTGGATCTTTTTAAAAATCAGCCGATTAGGAGAACATTTTTGTTCTTTTTTTTTTTTTTAATTGTTTATTCTAAATAAATTGTTGGGGTGTGTCGACGATTCTTTGACCGCGTTTTGACACGATTTTAGAAAAAAACCGATCTCGCTTGAGACGCCTTTTGCCTCCGATCGTGAGTCCACGTTGCGTGTTACGATTAACTCTTTTTTTTTTTTTTTTACTCTTTATATTCCCTAATTATGCGTTTCTATTAAACGTAGACTTAAATTGAGCCGTTTATTTTGAAAATGATTTAATTGATGATCTCCATTGTTTTTGATGACAGCTAATTTTTTGTCGTAAGCATTTTATGGTCAACATTAACATGTTTTAAAATGAACGGCTCAATTATCGAGAAAAACAAGTATGCAAAATAATTACTGATAATTATTTGAGTCCAAGAAATTGAAAGAAAATTGATTCGATGATTTACTATAAATCATTAAAATTAGAAAATAAATTACCAGCATATTTACACATACATACATGCCGGTATCTCATAATAACGAATGAAATAATAAAGAGCAGAGTATAATCGATGTACAGACGTGTATTTAAATTATTCACTTTTAATTATTGAACTAGTTGTTTTTTTTTCTTTTTAACTAATATATATTTTTTTTATCTTTTTTTTTTTATTTCACGAAATAAAAAAATCAATGTTAATAATATGCATGCAAGTTTCCAACCAAAAAAAAAAATTCTCACCGCATGCAGCATGCACCTTTCCAGTTATATTCTGCGTGTTAACGCTCGGGTGGATAATATATGATGACAAATAGAGTGAAATAGAAAGAAATAAATAGAAAAAGAATAGAAGAAGAAGAAGAAGAAGAAGAAAGAGAAAGAGAAAGTGTGTGTTTGTGTGAGATAGAAAGTGAAGATAAAAGATCCACACCGAGCGATAAATGTCGTTCCAATTAGGTGCGTTGGTACTTACCAGGATACAGTGTGGATACGGACATTTTTTTTTTTTTTCAACAAATAGACAGACAAACAGACAGACAGACAGACAGACAGATAGAAGATGATAGATAGATGGAAAGAATTTCAAAAGAATAGAAATGAATATGGAAAGATAGATTGATAGATAAAATAGATAGATAGATAAGATAGATAGATAAATAGAAGAATATATTGAATCGGAGAACGAAGCAGTCCATTTCGTCGTCTCGTCGACGATGACCACATCGTTTCGCCGAACGGTCCTAGGGCTGAAAGCAGCTAGGGACAAAGGGTGGGAGGTTCTCTAACGTAGACTTAGAATCTCTAAAGAATTTCATCCTCTCCTGAGAGATTCGTCGGTCTCTAAAGAGCCTCGTGTCCAGGTGATGCATTTTTTTTTTTGCTTTTTTTTTTCAATTTTCGTTTAGTTTCTTTCTTTATCTTCTTTTTGTTATCAATCTTTTGTTTTTTTTTTTATCATCATTTTCCAATTGTAAGCTCAAACGTTTGTCCGAATAGTAGTTTCTGCGTAGGGTTTGTATTATTTTTTTTTTGTGTCTTTGGTTCTTTTAGATATCATGATAATGTGTTCGAATAATGATTTCAAGGCCGAAGAGATTTTCTTTTTTTTTTCTTTTTTTTTTTTTTTACGTGTATTTTTCATGGAGGAGTCACGACATCACGCGCAATACTTTTTCGACAGATCGATCGAAACGGATATTGAGATAAGGCAGGTTATTCATTGGTTTGTTTGTAAGCTATCGTGGATATTATTATGAGGCTTTTTGATCCCGGACACGTAGGACAGGAATAAAAGGGTTAATGTCCTTTCTAATATGATCTAATTATAATATAACGGGATTTTCTTTTTTTTTTTTTTTGTATGTTTGCATGTAATTTTTTTTATCTGTCAGAAGCTACGTATGTATGTATAAATACGTACGTAATTAAATAATTAAATAATAATTTAAGTATATATATATATATATAAGTGTGCAGAACGTTCAGAACTAAGGGTGATTCTCTAATAGATTCTAGCGGGTGTCTCAAATGTTCTCTTTGGGAAACACATGACGTAAGTTTGCACGTTCTAATCTACGAATGAACGGTTCTCTATCGTTCTAAAAGGTATATAGTATGTATATGTATATATATATTAATAATAAAAAATAGGCGTGTATTTTTCTATAAATTATTTTTTTGTTTTCACTAAAAAAATTAAAAATGAGTCAAAACAATCCTAAAATCATTCTAAAAGTATTTTAACACATTCGCGGCCAGCATATTTTTTTCCGTTTCTTATATTAAGTACTGGCAAAAATAATGAAGTTTTGAAAAAAAAAACAATAATTTTTACATATATTCTATATATAAATATAAAAAAATAAAATAATAATTTAAATAATTTAAATTTATATTTAAATAATATAATAATATATAATATATAATATATAATTATTATATATTTAAGTAATTAATATAAATTTAATATATAAAATTTATATACATATGTAAATATATAAAATAATAATAAAAAATAATAATATTAATAAAATAATATAACTTTTTTAATTTATATATATATAGTATAAAATATAAAAATTAATTTTTATAAAATTTTTAAAATGTAAAATGATGTGAATCACGTCAGTGGCAATCAAGAATAGAACTTGAAAAGACGTGAATTCACGTCAGCGGTCGCGAATGTGTTAAACATTTTTTTTTTTTAGTTATTAATTGTACAACGAGACTCAATTAAAGCAACACACCCTAAAATCAAAACTTTCCAATTCGTTATTTTAAAAATGGAACATCGTCTGAACACGCCCTGTTTGTACTTTCATTGAATATAAGTTAATAGAATTAAAAATAAATAAAACAAAATAAGATAAAAAAGAGAGACGGTTTTTTTAAAGATTCGCTCGGAGGTACGCGTCTTTGATTAGTATGAAACGAACGATAGTAGCCCGTTATATTAACTATATATGTACGTATATAGATATATAATATATGTATATATGTATATATAAATATATTGGATTATCTGATAAATTTGTGCCAAGTCACTAGATCAATTTAAAATATAACATTTTGTTATTAATAGGTTGAATGCCACGAGGGTCACCGGTGACCGGCACTTAACTTTGTTGTGACGCCATGGGGGCCACCGGCCATATGGCCATGACCGGCGTATTCCACATCGTGGCGCCACGGATAATCCCAGGAAAATTGGCGTGGCACTCAACCTGTTAATTATTACAATATTAAGAACAAAATGCTATTTGAACTAAAACAATTTCAGAAAAATAAATGAAATATAATATTAAATAAGTATATATTATTTAAACATTGCAATAACTTTGCAAACCATTTCCTTTATATTTAAATATAAAAGATGATAAACATTGAAATTTGTATTTGAAATACTCGACACAAATTTTCTGAACAATCTAATATATAATATTATATACATATACATATATACATGTATACATATTTATATATGATGGTTTTAGAGAAGACAGAGAGAGAGAGAGAGAGATAGGGCTATTTGAAAAATCTGATTCGAAAGTATATAGGGAAATTTACTGCGGAATTGGATCGAGCCGAGACCTTGTGGTAACGGATCGAGGAGCGAGGTGCGTAGGTGGTCTGGTGTTGGTAGTACGAGGGTGGTCGGTGATCATGATGATGATGGTGATGGTGGTGGTGGTGGTGGTGATGGTCATAGTATTGATCATTGTCGGTATCGTAGTATTGGTCGTGATGGTGATGGTAGTAGTAGTCGTGATCCTGCTGGGAGGGCACCTCAGCCAGCAATGGCTCTAGCTCGGGGGCGCGATCCTCGCCATTAACTACGAGTACAACCCCAGACCCACCCCCTCCCTGGCTACTCTCTCCGCTGCTGCCTAGTATATCGTACTGGTGGGACATCTTCCAGTTCACCTTTTTGTTTCTGAAATTCATTCATTAATCATTTATTCATATTGTTCTTCTTTTCTTACTATTAATATTATTATTATATTATTATTTGTCAAAAATTGGGTATTTTTTTTTGTTATATGTTAATGTTCACATTGCATAGTTAACCCTTTTGGTACAAGCGTTCTTCCTACTGTGACAATCCCGCTGTACGGGAAATTAATTAAATATATTGTATATAAATATATAATTATAATATAAAATATAAATTAAATATATATAAACATAAATTAAATAAATATATAAATATAAATTTTAATTATTTACATTTTTATTTAAATAATAAAATATAATTATTTAAATATTATATATATAATTATAATTATAATTATAATATAGTATAATATATTAATTTATTTATAATATAATATTTATTATAATTAATATAATATTTAATATTAAAATATTTTATGATTATAATATAATATTATATTTAATATAATATAATATAGTATATATAATAAATATAATATTACATATATATAATATTAAATATAATATTACTTGAATATTATATTTCAAAAATTAAATATAAATTTAATATATAAAATTTCTATAAATATATAAATATAATAATATAATAAAATATAATTATTTAAATATAAAATTTATAGAAATATAAATTATATAAATATATAAATAATATATATTTATATAATTATATAAATTAAATATTATAGTAACATTTAATTATTTATAAATATATAAATATAAATTTAAATAATTTAAATTTAAATAATAAAATATAATAATACAGTAAAAAATACAATTATTTAAATATATTATATTTAATATTATATATATTTTAATATTAATATATTTTAATATTAAAATGTAATATTTATTTATTTATTATATAATATTTTTATTATTATATATATATATATTTATAAATTTATTTTTATGTCAAATATTATATTTAATGCTGGCTATATCCGGCGCCCTGTTATGACGACCTGTTTAGGCGTACGCCGGATATATCCGGCACCTGTACCGAAAGGGTTAAATGAAGTAAATATTTCATTATATTTTTAAATAAAAAATGTATTTACCAATCAGATGATTATTAATCTATCATATTTATAAAAAAAAAATACCCAATTAATGATAAAAGAAAAGAAAAATATTGAATTGATTTGTACCTGATGCTACGCTGTCGTCTTTGCTCGGCGGCTGCTAGGGCACCTATGGTCCCTTCCTCCTCGTCACGGAAGTCCTTGTGTTGATCGAGCTTCGTATCCGGTGTGGGACGTATCACGGGTTCGAGGCTGTTCGCTCTACTCCCTGTTGTGTGGCTATTTCCGGTGTGGTTAACCACCGCCATGTCCATCAGGCAGTTGTAGAGGGTCGATTGCTAAATTCGAATGTGCGAAAAGCACATCGGTGGTCAGATCAGCTGATCGATAGATTTTTCTTTTCGACGACTTATGCTTTTTTTTTTTGTTTTTTTTTTTTTTTTATTCTCGATGAGTAGAAAGTTTATTTTTTCTTGCGTAGTTATATTCAACATAACGCATACAAAATGTGCATTACTATGTACAGGCACATACAGGCTTTGTTTTTATTTCTTTTTTTTTTGGTTTTCTCTTCATATACTTTTGCTTGCGGAAGTTCGCGTGACACACATCTTCGAGATTTGTTTGTGCCGATCGATTTTCATTGAATCGATCGAAATACAAATAGAAAATAGAAAGAGTGAAAAAGAGAAAGAGAGAGAGGTATATATATATGTACACATGTATTATATATATATATATCATAAAAAGGAAGTTGAAATAGATAAATAGATGGATAGATAAAAGAAATATAGATAATAGATAGAAGAGCATTCATTGGTGAATAATAGTAATAATAAAAACGTCGATATAGAGAAAATTGTTTTGCAAAATCTCAATAAACGAGATGCCATGCAAACGCGATAAAAGTGCGTTCAGTGTAAGAAATATATTCAAATAATGGAAATATTATCTGAGAAAATAGACAGAGAGAAAGAGAGAGATAGAAAGATATTATATATATATATATATAGATAGAAACGCGTGTATAGAAAAAAAAAATGGAAGAAATTAGATAGGTGTCGTAAATAAAATAATAAAAATCGGTGATCGGTTAATTTGTTGCGTGTTCGTTTGGAAAGCCTGTATATGTTTGTCATGATTTCTCACGATTCAAAATGTTCATTAATTTTTTCTTGCTTTTTTTTTTTCTTTTTAAATATTCTAATTAATATGTGCGTTTTTTTTTTTATAGTTAGCGTTGTTTACGAGAGTAGGTATTATTTACCCATTTATGCAAGACATACAAACACAGTTAAATATTCGATGAGTTTGAAATGACACTGCATAAATGCAAATTATTTAATGATCATGCAACACACCAATGAGAATGATGGGACGAATTATCGACGACTGTATTTTTAACCAATTTACATTTTGCGATTTAATTAATATATTATATCGATTAAGTTCGTAGAGTTTATGTGCGTCGATGACTCGTCATTTGAATGTTGATGAATATTTACACATATGTAACACGTAAACGATGAGTTATCATAAAATTGTCATGAACAAACACAACAACAACACGTTGGACGTTTAAATTCGATGTTGAATTATGCAAGCTGACGAATACAATCATTACAAATCACAAGCTGCCAAGAATTTTTGTTTACAAGTATTATGGACGTGAAAGGGATTTACTAAAAGGGATATTCATACTAATTAATATACAATTGATTATTGTTGATCTTACGATTGGATAAATTAATAACATGCCATACGAATAAATCATACCATTTGCAATGCACTCGGGTTATCGTTTAACATCTTACACGTTTGCGTATGCTTTTAGGACAAATTTCTTATTTTTTTTTTTTTTATATTTTAATTGTTTAAAATGATTATTAATGATTTTTTGTTTTGTTTCAATTTAAAAGCGTACGTAAAAATAAATTAATTGGATGCTCACGATCGTGCGAGTGCTAATTAAATTAAACTAATTCTACGGTTTTTGGTTAATACTTCTATAAACAATTAATAATAATAATAATAATTAAAAAAAATATTTTTTTTTTGATGACCACACGAAGATGTTTGATTATCATCATCAGATAAGCTATAAATCAGGTATATAAGATAGCTTTTTTTATTTGCGTAGATTACAATGATGACGATTAGGAAAATACGATTTTGGTTGTTCACAGCTTTCTTCCTTTTCATCGTTTCCAAAATCAATATAATAAGTATTTTATGTGTTAGAGTTGGTGGGTGAAGTTTTCTTTTGTTTTTTGAGACTAATAAGAAGACCTTACACTGGAGCACCAACAGATTTTAATGAGTTTTGGTATATCAGTAGAATATAATTAAGGTATTATCGTGATAAAGTATTTTTATTCATTGGCAAGCCAATTTTGAGAAAAAAGTTTTTAAAGTTTGGCTTTTTTTTATATGTGCGTTATATTTTGTTTAAATGTAACGATTTATTAATTAATTCACCAGCGTAAGTAGCAGCATTTTTGTTTCTCGTGCCGGTGATGTTTAGTGTTAAATTCTTTATGGAGAAAGTTTTTTTTTTTATAAATCTTTTCTATTCATAAGATTTAAAAATTGTTTTTCAAAATATATAAAATATATATTTTAATAATTAACAATTTTATGTTATATATGAGCCAATTTTATGTATGATCGAGTTAGCTATCGTAATAGGTACATTTTTACATGATATTTTCACTCTGAAGCAATTTGTTACTAATATATTACAAAATCATTTAAATTTTGTAACACAAAAATTTGCTGATTAATGAAACAATAAAAATGTTTATTTTGAAAGTGGCCTAATTCTTATTATCAACTAGGAATGCCCCGTCACGCGTTGTTGTGGCTCACAATCAGTCCGATACACACGTCTTTAAGTCAACGAATTAGGGACCCTGTAGGAGGGACGCGCCAAAGAATTTTGGGGGACATGAACTTATGTAGTCACGTGATTGCGCGCGAATGAATTAAACATTATAAATAGTATAAAAGTGGTATATAGTAATAGTGAATAGTGTAGGGGGTAGAGTGGTGATTTGTTTTGAAAAAATTATGAAATAATGAATTGTATTAAATACAGAAAGAAAATGAACCATATTTAATGATAATTAAAAAATTTATATTAAAATAGAATAGGTTACACACAAAAMAATTATTATAAATTCAAAAAAAAAGATTCAATTAAGTTTGATTTGATAAAAGGCATTACAGTATTTTGAAATTTCAAAACAACTTGTAGGAATTTATACAATTTTGATAAATACAATTATCTACTATATATATTATATTTACAATTACTTTAATCATTCGTAAAATTTGTTTTTAATTTCCAATATTAATAAATCAGCTAGGATTCCTGGGTATTATATCATCATAACTAACCACAGCCGTTATTTATACATACTAAAGATAAACATGGCTGCGCGTTGCATCGGAAGCTGTCCCCCAAAATTTTCAGCCAATAGCAAGCCCAACAATATGTATGGTGCGTCCCTCCTACAGGGTCTCTATCAACGAATTACCTTATACCACCATATGTTAGAATCTTATCGAACTAACAGAGATAATCATGACTCTTTGTTAATAAACAAATAATTCGCAATAAAATAATATTGCGATTATAAATTGAGATATAAACTATCCCATCTTTCAAGTTGGATGAAACTGCACACAGTGTGCAAAATTTTATTAAAATCGGTGTAGTAGTTTAGGAGTCTATTGCGAACAAACAACGTGACACGTAATTTATATATATTAAGATTATTATTTGCCGATTGTCCGTAATTACTCGTAATGATAGAAATTTTGGCATCATGGACATGTCATTAAACCAAAATTATTTACCGTTCGTCCCCCAAAGATTATTATAATATTATCAGAAAGTGCCGGAGAGGTAATAACTTTATTGTAAATGAGATGAAACAAAAAGATTTTTTGTATGAACAAAATTATTAGAAAAGGCAATTTTTAAAAAGGTACAGAACTCTAACTGGTTAAAAATATGTTTGAATGCGTTTTGTCAGAAATGAACCGTATCAAATTTTCTATAAGACATCGATGAATGAGAATGAACATTTGAAAATTCTGAATTTATTACCACGTCTGGGTAGACCAAACAAGTTCGACAATATTATATTGACATCACTGCATGAACATATCAGACAAATTACAACAGTAAAATTCAAGGACATAATGCACCTACTACGACATATATCATGATTTTTTCAAATTCCTTTCACACACGCAAAATGTAAATTTACTGTAAATCGTTTTGTAATTGATGTAGTTCAAAAAATGTTTTCAATCGCATAAATTATGTTTCTAAAGTGTTTTAAAGATACGTAAAATAAATTGAGCATTGTTTTCTTCAAAATAAATTGAGTATTGTTTTCTTTAATTTGAAGCATCTTAAAATTATGTTGAATGGACTTGGGCTCCTTCAAATTTTATAATGAATATGGTTGTTAATTTTGAAAGTGGCCTAACTCGTTAGTATATTTTGAATTGCATTGAAACGCAAACCCTTCAATATCTCGACTCGAACATAAATTGAGTTAGGCCACTTTTAAAATAAACGGCTCATGTATCCTTATCACTCAAAAGGTTAATTGCCAATTTATAAAAAAAAAACTTCCTGAATACTAATCACCGGTACGAGAAACTGGAATGCTGCCCAGTGAACACACCAATGTAACCGAGACGTCACATTTATAGAACCAAAATTTTAGGTTACGTAAACCTTAAAATAACATACGAGTCACAGGTGACTCACATGTGACGTACAATTTCACACTCCTTTACGTAACAACGTGACGTTACATATAAAAAAAAAATCGAAAATCGTTGTTGAGGTTATGTAATTGTTTTCTTTTTTTTAGTTTCTTTTTTTTCCCGGGATTTGAACTCGGGAACATACGATTACCGGATGGACATTACTAGATGATGATTTGCCTTACTGAGCCATGCGAACTTGTATTAATTTACAGTGTATTACTAATACATATATAATTAATAATATTATTAATTATAATTAATAAATAATATTAAATAATAAAATATAACATAAATTAATAATATAAATTTTAATTACCACGTTCCGTGCCACGTGTACCACCGGTGGTACACTAAGCATTAGAAATATTTATTTAATGCACTGAAAATATA